GGCAGGGGGTGGGGGCCGGTGCCCCCCCCCCCCGCTTACCTTTTAATTAAAAAAAAAAAAAAAACTGTGCTGTGCAAAAGACACTTTGTACAATTCAAACAAAACAAACTCCATGCACATGAACGGGGCTACAGAACAGCCCACGCCAGGACCCGGCTCCCCGGCACCACCTGGCAAAATCCCAACAGAAACAGGGCTGGAAATAATACTGACGCGCAAAGTCCCCTTTAATAGGCGGGCAGGGAGGATTGTCGCTGGGCCCAGCCACGGCACATGCAGGACGAGCTTCCAAGCGCTGCAGCTGGGGCTTGCGGGTGCCCTACGGTGATGGACAGACGCAGAGGGGGCAGAGGCAACAAAGCCGCACTGGCCGCCCGGGAGCGGGAGCTGCTAAGACGACACCGTGACGGCCGTCAGGGCCCCGTTGCGGGTGTAGTAGAACTTGCTGAACGCCTCTTCAAGTAAACAGGTGAGTCTGCTCTGGTCAGCCTGGGGAGAGCGAGGCACAGTGAGCTGCGGCGGTGCAGGACAGCCGAGTCCGCTTCGCTCACCAGGGAGAACAGGGGTATCGGGAACAAAAAGGCCCTTGGGAAGAGGAATGCAGAGCTCTGCCCCAGCCCCAGCCCTGCTCACCTCACTGATGAACCCAAGCTGGACCAGTTCGGCTGCCAGCTCCTGGATATTGTCATCTGCAACACAGGGGAGGGCGTAAGGCCAAGTCCAAGCCCTGCTGAGCCCAGGGCAGGAGAACAAGGACAGCTACTTACTGGGCTGCAGGTCACAGCTCAAGTGTCGATTCAACTTGTCTTCCAGTTTCAGCAGCAGCGTTAACTGGAAGCAGAGGAGCACTCGTGAGGGCTGCAGCCTGGCAGACCGCCGCGCGCAGCCAGGAACAGCCCCAGATCCCCCGTGAGGTGGGAGCCCCCAGCCGCAGAGCCCCAGCCCCGAGCAGAGGCCGTCGCCTCCTGCGGGGGGAGGAAGGGCCCCAAGGCCGCTCCATGGGGCGAGCGCCACCGCAGGCCCCTGGCTCG